ATTTTTTTGCGGAAGAGTTTCAGGATCTTGGGACTTAGGGCAGTATTGTCCTTTTTTTTCCTAAGAGTTCTTTCAAATATCCCTTGCTCAATAGATAGTTAATCTCTTTTTTTAGAGCAAAGCGGTCTTCAGTAAGATATCCAAAGTCTTTGTGGTAAGCACACCACCTGGACTTGTCCTTCCATCATGTGGTCTTCTCATTTTTCTTGGGACATCTTGCCTTGTCCCCAAGATTTTTCATTGCATAGAGTAGACCTGAAACATTAACGGAAAAACAGTAATCAGATATATTTGGATAAATTTCATTTTCCTCTTCATCCTCTAGAGCATTGATCTTATGATTCTCAGATCTTGATTAAGGTTTAGCTCTATAGGACTTTTGGGAGGAAGATTCATTCTTTATGTTAGAATGATCGTATGATGTTTTTGTCCTTTTTTTGGATCTTGTTGTCTTCTTTTAGCCTGATGGATCTCAAGACTTTTATTTCTGACATCGTCTAATTTCTTGCATGGGGTCATGATGTCACACCCCCAAACCGGAACGGCGGAAACGTTCGGGGGCAGAGGACGTCATGTCAAGTATCACAACACATGCATTATAGTAATCAAAGTACAACAACCATTGCATTAATAATGTATAAGTTTTTACATGAGTGCTCAAACACTAGATGTTCAACATCAAAAGTAGATATAGTAAAAGACAAAAGACGCAACACGGTACTAGGCTGTCTTCTCAAAAGCTCCGGGAGTGTACCTGTCTACTGGATTCCTGAGAATACAAGTTATTTTGAAAGAGAGGATCAACATTTAAGCTGGTGAGTTCATAAGTATTAGTTTATACTCAAATCCGTTTTCTCGTTATTTGATAAGGTAAACACGTTTTTCCCTAGAAAATCCTATATTTTATGATGTATTATACGGTAAGTAAAAGAGTGAAAGTTTATGCGTTCTTAAGTGGAATACTGTGTTATAGTTTACAAAAGACCATAAAGAAAAGGCGTTTACCAATACGAAAATAGTATTTTCGTATTTATACTGGTAAAATACTGTGATATAGTTTTATAAAGATAAAACTATGTGAATTTCTACTTATTCATACAATAATCATTTTATTCAATATCAAAATGTGAGTTATCATAACCATACTTGGTGACCAAGGATCGCCTGAACACGACGTTCTCCAGGCGTCGCAATCGGTAGGACATTTGTCACCACAGGTCTGCCGACCTAGCTGTTGCAAGCAACTCTGGCGCGGGATTGTCAGTCCCGTATAAATCTATACACAAGTGCCGCGCTCTCCCCCGATGAGACTCTGGTTATAATTTCAGGACTTGGGGGATACTTATAAAAGTATATGAAGGTTGCCTCACAAATGCTATATTGATGATTATGTATAGAATATTGACAAGTTACTTTATAACAAATACTCAATAAGTTAGTTTCATAAACTATATAAAATATAGTTTATATGGTTGTTTTCTGATTGATGTTTTCCAAAGAATGTTTTCTACTTGTTTTCTGTTAAGTACCAATAAATGAGTTCTCTAAACTATACCTATTATAGTTTAACTGTTGGTAAGAATCAGTAATATTGTTATTCCATGAAGTTCGTTGTTTGTACCAAAAAGTACCAAACAGTTTGAAAACCCTTTTTATATTTATATAAATGTAATATTTATATAATTGTGATTAATTAGACCTTCGATTATATAACTTTACCCCAAGCCCACAACCAAACAAGGAACAGGAAATGAGGTCAAATTATATATTCTAGATCTTTTGAATCCAAATTATTTAATTTACACATATATAAATATGTAATTTTTGATAATTATAAAAATTTAAAAACTTTAAAAACATTTAAAAGCATTTTAGATATTAACACAATTTTCATTGTGTTTCACCTGTATTCCCCCTTAAAACAGTTTAAAATCATAAAAATGTAGGGGTATGAACTCACCTTATGTGGGTGATTCAATTGAAGATTCGATATAAGATGATAAGTTTCACGAGTGAAGTCTCGAGGCACAAACGAGTCCTAAACACGATTCATACAATATACATGTATACTTATAAATAAATATACTCATAACAGTGATAGGAAAACGAACTCATCTGCAAGTTTAACTTACAAATTAAGGTGTTAGAAGCAAAGTTTGAAGACTGCAAGAGAGTTCACGGCCTGATGGAGGGTTCACGGACCAAGAAGAATTGATGTTCTTGAGTTCACGACCCAACAAGCTTGAAGAATGATGAAGATGCAAGTGTTTTCAGCCTAGAAATCCCTAGAATGATGATGAAATGATGAACACCTTGAAGATCCAAGCAATATTCCAAGAAGAGTTGAAGGTTTGAGAGATGATACTTGAGAGAGAAATGATGGAGTTTGCGGTTAGAAGTGAAAGAATGAGGAAAAATCAGTCTCACTTATATATATATATATATATATATATATATATATATATATATATAAGGTAAGGGTTCACGGCTCCGAAGACTGTTCACGGTCCAAGGGTTTGCGGCCCATGTTTGCGGTCGTGAACCTCGCATGAAGGGGTTTACGGTCCGAAGTTTTGGCCTCGCATGGGTTCTCAGTTCAACTTGTTTCACTTCTTAAGCATACAATACCTTTGGCACAAGGTTTATACACTTAAAACCCATTAATTTAGCCATATAAGAATAATAAAAGAAATGAGTTTGACCTTTACACGATATGTTTGACTTTTACAAGAATAAAATTTTCGAGTTGTCACATCATCCCCCTGTTAAAGGGAATTTCATCCCGAAATTAAGTCTAAGGTATACACATGGACTAAAGGAAAAGAGGTGGATACTTATGTTTCTAATGATCCTCACGCTCCCAAGTGAAATTGGGTCCTCGCTATGCACTTAAGCAGTCCCTCACTATCGGGATAGGGATTTGATTAGTCCTATCGACTTTACTGTCTAGGATTTCTACGGATTCTTCCACAAAGTTAAGGCTCTCGTTTACCTCGATCTAATCGAGTGGGATAACAAAAGTCTTGTCGGACAAACATTTTTCAAGTTAAAGACGTGGAAAGTAGGGTGTATGTTATTGAATTCTCGAGGTAGTCGGGGTTTATAAGCTACTGGATCAAATCTAGTAAGAATCTCGAATGGTTCTATGTACCTTGGATTTAGTATTCCATGCTTTCCGAAGCGTATCATGCCCTTCCAAGGTGAGACTATCACATGACGTGGTCACCAACCTGGAATTCCAAGGGTTTCCTCCTATTGAAGGCGTAGCTTTTCTGTCTGACTTTGGAAGTTTTATGTCGCTCTCGGGGATTCGTACTATCTTCTCGGACACATGTTCTGGTTAGCTTCTCCATTTTGCCTGTTTCCTTCAATTTGCAGGAAATGTGCGGACTTGGTTAATCTGTCGACGATCACTCAAAATGGTATCAAGTCCACCTATTGCCTTGGGTAACTTGATTATGAAGCCCATTGCAATTCGCTACCACTTCCACTTAGGTATCTCCGGTTGTTGTAGTAAGCCTGCGGGCTTTTGCTCTGAAGTTCATGATAAGACTCATACTTGGCTCATCCACCATCACCTCTTGTATACAAGTCGTATATACTTTAGATTGACAAAACGTTCGGATGGGTGGCTCTGCCCCAAGTCCACAACCAGACAAGGAATAGGAGATAGGGCGGAATCACACATCCTAAATCTTGTTAAGTCTAAATTATATACCACTCTCGCGTATACACTTAACAGCGATAGATTAACCTCATGAGATCTATTGGGGATACTTCGGGTGGTTACTGACTTCTGAGACTTCTTTGGTGCTTTTCGTTTCAAGTTTCCTATCTACTGAGTAAGCTAGAAAGGCATTTCTAGGTCACACAGTGTGTATAATGGAGCTTTAATTAGGAATAACACCCTTTGATAAACCTTTATTTTTTAGGTGTTGTTCGATTATGAAAGGATCTTCGGTAAGTGGTAGTTTTATGGTAAACGTTTTGCACCCAAGATCTAAATATTCAACAATGAAATAACATTTGACCTAGAAATGCACTTCTTGCGACAAATCAACATGATCCTTTTAAGTTATATAGGATCTAAATTGTATCTTTATGATTGTAGTAATAATATTTATTAAAGAGAATGACAAAAAAAAAATCCAAAAATGACATATAAATTATCATTATTGTGTTTTTAATAAGATAATATATTTATTTTGAGTTTTTTTAAGAAATAAATATAAGTTTTTTTTTTCAAATAAATTTAGTATATATAAAAAAAATCTCTAGAAAAGTCCTTAAACCTTAATCTTATTAACGAAAAAGTCATACATGATTTTTTGTTTGTAATTTAAACATTAAAACAGTTTCAAAGGTTATTTTTCAAGTGTTTACCGGTTTCAATGGTTGAATCACAGGAAAAAAAATCAAAAAAATCAAAGATAACTTTTTTGTAAATAAAAACAAAATATAAAGATTTTTTTTTTCAAAACTCCCTAAGGGAGGAGGGAGTCATTCCCTCCAAACTCACTGAACTCACTGCCACATCACTTTTTCTCTTTTATTTTTCTTCATCTTTCCGAACCCACGACATCCGTAAATCCTATCTTTTTGAACCCACTCAATTAAAAAAAATACAAAACAATCAAATGTAAAATCTTAATTAGCAATAGAGTTATCGGCGGTACCACTCCCGATTCAACGAGTGGGTTGATTGGTTTCACTAACCCACTTCATCATCTCTCTCTACTTTCTCTTTCTTATTTTCTCTTGTACCATGTGTTTTAAAACTTGTATTTTAGTTGTTTTGTATTTTTTTTTAATTGAGTGAGTTCAAAAAGATAGGATTTCCGTGTGTTGTGGGTTCGGAAAAATGAAGAAAAATAAAAGAGAAAAATTGATGTGACAGTGGGTTCGGTGGGTTGGGAGGGAACAACTCCCTCCTCCCTAATAGATGAAATTGTCAAAGAAGGTTTTATGGACCATCGAAGTTGAATAAATCGGAAGCGAGAGACCTTTTATGTAATTCACCTATTCTTTTCAACAATCGGACACAGTTGCCAGTAGGCCCATACTTGCCAGGGGAAACCAGTCGGGTTGTAAAACTCAGGGTGTCGACTCCGCCGGAAAGTGGTGGACGTTGACCTGAAAGCTTTCTGTTAAAATGGCTAAAAAGCTTATCAGATACTCCGTGGTAAGTTCCTTATACTCATCTCTCTCGCACTTGCCAGGCACACACAAGGGCTTTAGTATATGAGCTGCAAATTGCTTAGCAACCGAAATCTTGAAAGTTTATTAATCTGGTCTCTTTTTTTCTTTGACATACAAAACAGGTGGATGCATTTACTGATACGGCGTTTAAAGGAAATCCGGCGGCTGTGTGTTGGTTAGAGGGCATAGAAAAAGATGATAAATGGTTGCAGTCAGTTGCGGCTGAATTCAATTTATCCGAGACTTGTTTTTTGACTCCAATCGTCGACGACGCTTCGAAGAACACTAGATTCCATCTCAGATGGTTCACTCCTGTAGCTGAGGTTATCATGAGTTTGAATTTCTTCTATATATTATCGCCTCTATTTATATGTTTGTTTAGGTTATCATTTGATCATTAGAACTTCTAATTTGAAAATTTCTTCATTCTTACTGAGAGAACATTTGCCAAATAATTCTATATGCGTACTTGAAGAGCAAAAGTCATTCAGTAATAGGAATAAAAACTATGTTGATCTTATTCTGTTGTTCTATTCTGGTGATATAGGTGGAGCTTTGTGGTCATGCAACTTTAGCAGCCTCCCACTTCCTTTTCGAATCAGGCTTGGTTAATTCTAACACAGTTGAATTCTCAACTCTTTCTGGAATTTTGACTGCCAAAAAAGTTCCTGAAAGCAGGATTAAGGACCCATCATTCACAGAAAATGGTGCAGCACAAGCCAAGTTCTTGATCGAACTGAATTTCCCTGTTGTAGTAGTTTCAGATTTCAGTGATCTTGAGGTTTCAGCAATTTCTGAGATACTAAATGGTGTTTCTGTTGTTGATGTAAAGAAGATGGCATCTGATGACATCCTTGTATGTATCAAATTTCTCTTACATTCACTCATTTAAAACAAGAGTAGTGATCAAAGTCGATTGTTCTTCCCTTGGTGCACAGGTGGTGCTTTCATCAGGAAAGGAAGTTGCTGAATTGATGCCCCGACTTGATAAGATCAAAAAAGCACCAGGCAGAGGGATAGTAATTACAGGGCTTGCACCTAATGGATCAGGCTTTGACTTTTATACTCGCTTCTTCTGCCCTAAATATGGAATTGATGAGGTAATTACATTGAAATGCTTTTCTTTCATCATGTTCATGTTGTTAGTAGTAGCATAATTGTTTGATCTTTGAGTATACTTATTTCTCTTTTAGGATCCTGTTTGCGGAAGTGCACATTGTGCCCTAGCAGCCTATTGGAGCGACAAGTTGGGGAAATTTGATTTTCTTGCGTATCAAGTATCTCTCTTTCTCTCTCTACAATTATATGTCACCTTAAATTGTTATTTTTCATACATACTATTATTGACTACCTACTCACTCTATTCTCTTACACTCGTTTGTCTGTGTGTTTTCTATTCATCAGGCTTCACCTAGAAGTGGCATTTTAGATATACATTTAGATAAGAAGAATCAAAGAGTACTTCTACGAGGTAAAGCCACCACAGTCATGGAAGGCTCTCTTTTGGTCTGAATTAAGATGATTCAGATTGTAATCAAATGCCAAAGTGAACTATTTTCTGTTATTGCAATAGTTTTTACTTCCAAGATGCATGGAAATCGTGAAAGCATATATAGTTTCCTGAACCTCTATGTGTATGCGGTTATATTGTGAATTTAAGCGTTTGCTATTAAAAAGGTGTTTTTTGACATTTTTTCGGAAGACAAAAAACAACTTATAACTTTGGAAGACATTTTTTAAGTTCTAATCGAAATGTGATATTTCTTTTCCACCATCACCATTGCCTCCGCCACCGCCATCGCCACTATCACCACCACTGCGGCCGCCACTACCACCGCCTCCGCCACCACCTCTGTCGCTTCCTCTACCACCACCTCCGCCACCGCCACCACCGTCACCCAACCCCTTTCCTATCTCCGCCACCACCAACACCAATATTACCATTCTTTTTTGTAAAAGACTTTAAGAAACAAACATTTTTTATGATGACTAAATACATGAAAAAAAGACTTTTGGTCCACATCTTATTCCGCATACATGGAAAAAGACCAAAAACATTTCACCTCTTCCAAAACAAATGTCACCTAAGTGTAATGGTTATGCACGGCCATTGACTTTCAATGTCCGGGGAGAGATACTAAAAAAATGCCCTTATATATAAAAATGTTATAGCAAAATTGAAATAAATTTTATAACCAAATTAAATCATGGTTATACAAACAAAAACATACAAAAAATCATCTAAAACGATGCCTACGTGCATTTTTTGAATAAAAAACATCCCTAATTTTATGATAATCAAAGACTTTGTCGAAATTGACTTTTAACACTCAAAATCGCCAATCCATTTAATCTTTCTTGACTCATGGTACTTCGAAGATATGATTTCAATAGTTTCAGTTTTGAAAAACTTCTTTCCACGGTAGCTACTGTAACCGGCACTATCAACAAAATCTTATATGCTACCAACACATTGGGAAAATTGTCCATTTTCTTTACAAACTCCATAATTTGAATAGCCACCCAAGGAAGTTCACATTTGTATGCTTCATCCGGCAACCTTACTTGCAAAACTTGTAAGTATATAAATAAACATTTTCCATCAATATCAAGTTCCTCACTGGCTGTCAAACTAGTTTCAAGTTTCATACAACAATTTTTTAATTCATCGTCAAGTAAAGATTTTAACTTTGAACCATTAAACAAAAATCCAAAAATAGATTCAAAATGTTGCATTGGCTCAAATCTACTTTTCAATTGTGTAAGAGTCATGTCCACTAGAACAATAAAATAATCAATTTTAAATTTTTCTTTAGACGATTGTTGTTATCTTTCAGGATTTGGAACTTCGTCAAATTGTGTTTTTCTATAAGCAATATGTTTAATAGGAAATTCAGGTTTAACTCCAATACTAAGTGTTATTTCTTTAGCTTCATTAATAGCAGAGTCAAGCCCATTTTCCCTATAGTTTTCAAAATAATTAACTAACCCTCTAAATTTTTTACCGCAACATCAACAATCATATCTTTAGATTGTAACTTCTTACTTACCAAATTAATTCTAGATAAAATATCATGTCATATTATTAAACTTAAAATAAATTCAAAACTAGAAAATTCACCATTTATTAATGATTCGGCATCTCTACAAACTTTCCCATCATCACTCACTTAAGCTAATTTTTCTAAAGTTTTTTAATTTTGAAAAAGTTGAGTTTTTAATGCTCCAACACTTTCAATGTGACTTTCCCAGCGTGTTGGAGACAATGATTTAAGTGTTAATTCATCTATATACTCAAGTAATACACTCCATCTATGTGTAGAACTAGAAAAAACATGTGGAAGATATGATGGATAACCTATTGACTCATGTTCAAATCCTGACACTACTCAACCCTTGTGGCCATGGAGGTTCGCCTGCAGTGACTCCAGGGCATGAGGCAAAGCCTCATGTTTGCAGCGGGGGATTAGTCGGTGCGCGAAAGCTGGCCCGGAAACCCTTGTTAGGGAAGTTCCCTTTCCAAAAAAACTAGAAAAAACATTATATATCGTTTGACAGGTACCAAAAAAAGTTTTTGCTTTGTGACAAGAATTTGCCATATCACGCAAAACTAAATTTAAGACTATGACATCCACAAGACATATAAAAAACTCTTGAATTTATATCAAACAATCGTTTTTTGTACACCTTGATTTTGCCTTTCATATTTGCTCAATTATCATACCCTTGTCTTCGAATACAATTAAAATCCAAGTCAAGAGATTTCAAAGCATTTTGTAAAACATTAAAAAGTCCTAAACCAGATGTATCTTCAACAACTAAAAATTCTAGAAAAAAATCTTCTATTTTTATTGGCACACTTGCAACATCGACACATCTTATAATCAATGTCATTTGTTCTTTGTGACTTGCATCCGCCATCAAGGATTATAGAAAAATATTTTGCAGTTTTTATTTTTTTAATAATTGTACTATTTACTTCGGATGCCAACATTTCGATTAATTCATTTGGAATTTTATGACTAAGATAGTGATTATGACTTTTTTTTATCTTGAATTAGTCGAAAATGTTGTTTCATTACCGGATCAAATGCAACAATCATTTGAACTATACGTAAAAAGTTACCATTAGAATCCTGATATATTTTTTCATTTGTTCCACGAAAAGCCAAGTTACTTTCAGCTAAACATTTTACAACTGCAATTATTCTTACCAAAACTTCTATTTAATCTAATTTGTGTTTCAGTCCAAGTTTTTAAATTACTCATATGTTCAGAACTATTTTCATGTTCAACTAATTTTTCACTTAAGATGTTTCCAATCTTTTATTCCTTCGGTTGCCACATTACTTCTAGACGGAGCAGTTTTAGACAACTTACAACAAAAACAAAAAACTTTATCTATTTCTTTTGAATACTCCAAGCATTTTCTATCACAAGTATCACCATTTGTTAATTTATGAACATAAAATTCACAAGAAAAATGTCTAGCGAGTGCATCTTTTGGAAAACTCTTGTTAGTTTCAATTTCTCTAATAGGCCATTTTTCTATAACCAATCTTTCATTTTTAAATCTAACTCATTCCACACTCTTGGATAAAAAATATTCAAGTCACTTGGTTTTTCAACAAAGTCATTTTCGAAATCATTAGAATTATCAACAGGCTCATTGGAATTATCAACGGGGTCATTAGAATTATTAACAGCATCTTCAGTAGAATTGTTTTCAACAAAATTTTCATTTCTAGGAAAATAATTATATATAGACCCATGCATTTTTTTAGCAATTTCTTGTTCTCTATTTTTTCGTTTTCTATTTTGAGCACCCTATGTTTGTTTACGTGGAAACATATTTAAACAATTAAATTCAACAAATAGAAGTATATCAAAGAAAGATACAACCTGATGGATGGGAGAGGCTAATGTTGAATAAGAAATTGGAGATTGGAGAAATGACAAAACCTACTTTGCTTAGGCCTTTCAAAAACTTTCATGCATTAAAAAAATCACTTAACTCAACAAAAGTTTCACACTTTCATTCAATTCAGAAAATTATTTGTCTATTACCTAAATATCAATTCAGAAAAGAATAAAGTTATTACCTTACAAAAAAAGAGCCGACAATCACTTAACAGAATTAATATTCTCTTTAACTTGATCGATCGATAAGTCTGGAATAGAGAAGATGCAATAAATTAAATCGATTTCAATAAAAAAACTGTTCAAAATCATCATTCATCAAAAACTAAATCTAAAAGGAGGAGAAGTGGAGAACCAACCTGATGTGTGAGTCGTGATTACATACACTAATGATAATTTGATACCGTTTCTGATTTCTGAACTCTCAAGATTCAAGACTCAACCAGTCAATCAGATGGGGGGCAAGATAGTCGGACAACGTGAACTCGGGAACATGTCAAAACGTGGAGGAGAAGAATGATCAATGGATTAAGTTTAACTGATTAATGCTTGTTATTAAAGATTTCATCGAGAATAGGTCAGAAGTGGATTATCGGATTCACAATATCGTTGATTGAATGGCCGATTGCTTCAATTTTACCGTGTGCGACTCCGAGATTTCTGCTACTCCTGCTAATTCAGGAGTATTCAATTTTTGCCATTCTTGACTTCGTTCCCAATTCCTACTAGTCGCTCACAATTGACAAACATGGACTCACATTTGGCCCAATTAATTAATACATATACATAACAATTTTTAAAATTTTGTTGCCCCTAGGCCCACTGATACATATCCATGGTTTTTTGGTGTTGTTTTTATTATCCTTACTTATGTATACCAATGTCGAATACCAAATCATGTAAATACAATATAAACTATTCATATGTTAATATAGTTATTTATGTTAAATAATTATTCATGATATATTAACATATAAATATACATGATATTCAAATATGAATTTTACATGGTATTAATCTTACTTAACCTTACATATGTAGACTATCCTATTCACATATGAATACACTTGTTTATGTTACATAATTATAATATCTTATCTTATCTTGTACTATATTATTTAGTCATATCTTGAATTTTAAGATATGACTAAACACAAATATTTTATTTAACAATGGTAATTTTTTATTACATAATAGCTAATAATAAAATCTAATAATTATTTTCTCGTAAGAAACTATTCGCCAAAAAATGTATTTATCGTCGTCACTTTGTGCGGGCAGACATCTAGTATTCACATATAAATATACATGGTATTCACAGTTATCCTCAAAATAATCGTTAACCAAACGTTTATGCCCTTCTTCGTGATCTCCTTTAACGCTACACGTCGTTTTAGTAGTGGAGCTGCATCTGGTTGTAGTAGCACGTCCACAATACTTGTACATCATAGTCGCAAAGATATTGTCATCGTCATCATCGTTGGACAGGGCGAACGAATCAAGCGGATCCTTTTTTTTTAATTGTTGAAAGTTTTTATGAAATAGAGAGAATAAAGGAAAGTGGTAAAAACAAGGTGTTGTTTTTATGTATTTATAGGTAAATAATTTTTTTTTATTGAATGTGACCGTTTGAAAATGGTCGAATTCATGGAAAAGTGGACGTTGCTCGTCGTTACCAGCACAACGGATGGCCACATAACGCCCAAAAACGTATAGGTGGGGCGGTGTGCTGTCGTTAACATGACGTTTTCCGGCC